CTCACAACAAGAGCGTAACGAGCCTTTCCGCTCCCATAAACAAGTATGTGCTCAGGATAATAAGTATGTGACTTGACTACCATCCACAAAATGGATTGTCCTCAATCGACACAGACAGATAAAATAGTGTAACCAAGCTAAGCCCCATGACCACGGGACACAACTCGTTACACCTACCAATACGCATACCATATCCCTGCCCGGTCTCCATTTTTCTTTCATCATTTTTATCATGAGAGTAATTATAATAATCACCTATTGTGAGTAACGACAGGTTATTCACGCTACCGAAAACCTAAGCATAGCAGCTACTCAAACCTGCACTAGTGAGACTTATAGGATAGATATATCTATGCATGTGGTTTCCATAAAATTCCTATAACGTAAATGCACATCACATATATGCATATAGTGATTATAAAAAATAAGGGTTATGCATTGGGGCTTGCCTTGAGCAGGCACGGTGTTAGCCGAGTCAGTCGGTGGTGGCTTCGGGACCTCCTCCCACACGAGGACCTCCTCCTCGTATTCCTCAACGATCTCCTCGAACTCATGACCGTCGGTGGTCACTATCTCCACCAACTCGTTCTCTACATGCATGGGATGATGATGCAATAACTTAGCATTTAGACAACAACAACTCTTAAAATAAGAATACGCATATCAAGCTACTAAGCTAGCTCTAATGACTAAGATACTAATCTAACTATCATCTTCATCAAGCAAAGTGTTGGGTTCAACTAACAAACATGTAGCTTTGCAATTTAAGAGTATATCTTTAGTTCTACTAAGGATTTAATGTATATTGAAACAAAGAGCATTTAACTACCCTAATGCTTAGTCTATTCTAAGGGTACAAAAATTACAGTGAGCACATAATAATACAATGAAGCTACTATAAAAAATTCAGGACTAAAGTTATCATCAATTTACCACAAAAATTCCTACAATGATTAACTTAATAATATTAAGCATTATCAAATGATTTAATATCTCCTAGTATCAACACATATAAGTATGAACTAAATACACCAACAGATAGACCATAATTTTAGAAACCTAACAAAATTTATTTCACAAATTTTGGGCATCTACACGATTTTATATTAATTACCAAAGATTAGCTCAGAATTTAAAATAAAAAGCTATTACTAATTTTGTAAGAAAAAGAAAAATGAATTCCATCACGCGGCCCACAACGCGCGGCGCACACACGAAACAGCCCACGAACGCGGCCCACGTGGCGTCGGCCCACCCGCGAGGCGGCCTGCGCACGCTGGCATTTTCGCAAAAGAGACCTCGAACTTCTCCCGAACTACACCTAAATCCTAACACTATTTCTTTCTCTCTCTGGTGAATTCATTTAACCCCCTGAGTTTTTCTTAATTCACCCGCGCATACCCTTGGCAACTCTTTGCACGGCGGTGCGGCGAGCGGCGGCACCGGGTGACTACGCCGGCCACCTGGGACCTGCGCGTGCCTATGTAACGGGTCGATCACCATCTCCGACCTAGATGACTACGCTAAGCGGTGGTGAGGGGTGGCGGGGCTCATGGGGAAGGTTGCAGCGGCACGCGGCCGTTCACGACGGCGACGCAACGGTTCCGGTGAACTAGGACAGCTACCGGCTTAACAAGCTAGCGTGCGAGCAGCAGGGGCTCACCGTGGACCTGGACGAGGTGATGGTACGGCCAGGGACTGCCCAAGCGAGGCCGGCCATGTGCGACCGAGCGGCACGGAAGCGCACCGCCACGGACACGACCGCGTTAGCAGCGCCGGGGTAGCGGTAGAGGTACGGCTAAGGAGCACAGGGCGACATAGAGGTAGAAGCGAAGCTAGTGGTGCACTTGGATTGGGTCAGGGTGGAGAGATAGAGGACTGCCCACGGCAATGGCCGAGCTTGGCCTTATCGGCATGACGACGGGGAAAAACTCCAAATTGGAGCTTGACCATGCTCGCTTCAAAGCTGGGTGGGGTCGGGGTCAGGTGGCTTAATGGAGAAGCCAGGGATGAGTCGAATTGAGTTGAGGTGATCTAACGATGCCAAATTGGGCGAGCGGGGTCGGCCAGTCGCGGTGGCAGAGAGAGAGGCAGTCAACCCTCGGCTCGTTCTCGCCTTGGCGGAACGCGAGCAACGCGATCAGGAAGCATACGCGCAGGCGCTACAGACAAGGCGTGCGCGCGTCCACGATCGACACGGCACGAGCGGCTACCGCGCCTTTATGGGCTAGACGACAGCAGGTACGACCATGTGCCGATGCCACGGATACACCATGCGCGCGCAATAGTGGCAGGGCCACCGGTAGGGTGAACAGCAGTGTAGAGCCGTAGGGGAGGTGCGGATGCGACGGCGACAAAGCGGCAATATGCAATGGCAGGCGCAGGCAGCAGCGAATGGCAGGCTGGCGAAGGCGCCAGGCCCGGCTGGCTTCTTGCTGCGGGCTCTCGCCAAGCCCAGGCAGGGCCAGCGGCCATGTCTTGCGAGGTGGCGGGCACGGGGGAGGCCATGACGCTTGCCACCATGCTGGTGTGTGACGGTGACGACGGTGGCATACAGACGGCGCCAAACATCCCAAGGCTGTGTCGTGCATGAATTTTAAAGCGTTGATACAAACTAAACAAATGAAGTTGGAGCTAAACCGGCTTCACTATGCTAAAGAGGGTACATCAAACTACCATAAGAAACAAAAACATAGCACTGACCTTTAGCTAAATTTTCCAAAATTAATTCACCAACATAGCATTGTCACATTGTTTTCAAACTTAAAATTCTTCCAAGTCTTGAGCTGAATTTGATTTCAAGTTCCATTTCCAAGCCATTAAAAATACTAGCTAGTCATATTATTTTTTCTACGGCAAAAGTTGCATTGTTATCTACAAAGTTTGTACTTCAAACTTTATTTAAGTATCACACACATGTTCTATAGTATTTTTGCTTAATAAAATTTGATTTTCCACCCTACTTAATATAACATGAGTTATTGAATAAATTTCGATTTAACATTTTTATTGGTCATTTTAGGCTATAAGAAATTTATCAACACCTTCTATCACATGTATTATTACATAAACATAATGCTCATGACATGATTTAGTAGTTTGTTTAGGGCGTAACACTAAGAGTGTTACAGTTTTCAATCATGAATTATGTGAAGAGTAAGTTGAGAATAGGATGGGGACCAATACTTAAATGGTTGCTAGCTTGGTCACGTTTATTGAGCGCCAGTTCTTTTCAAAGTCAAGGATAGTGACATCATCAATCGATATCAAGCCATGAGGGACGAGAAAGTTAAATTAAAATGTAATTTTCTTTTGTTTTTTAATATCCGTTTGTTATGAAATATCTTCAGTTTGAACTATATGTACCGTATATTTATGCTGTTGTAAACTTTTTGTACCTTTCAACTGTGTACTTTCTTTAGTTTAATTTGGGAATATCCAACTTTGAAATCCTGGATCCACCACAGGTAAGAAATCCGTATAGAGTGTAAAATTAATTTTATGTAGTAGTATAATAATAAAGTGGTACATGCATTCTTAAAAAACTGGTTCTCATGTTGCCGTAAAAAAAAACTGTTTCTCATGGTAAAACCAATATTCCAACGTGTGAGCAGAGAATAGTTGGCTGATGCTGTAGACATGTAGAGAATAGTCAAAACAAATTATTCTTCAGTCAATTTTCATACAGGATTAATTCCTTATTATCACTACCATTCATGTGTCTTAAAATCTTATTAAAATAAAGTTGTACCGATCTCAATTAAAATGGTCAGTTTTCACAGTTTGTTGTGAGGCATCCTCTAATCCTACCTCATGCACAGGCGGTTTTCTGTTTCCGACGTTTTTTTTTTCCACTGGCGCAAGTTGTATCTCACGCACACGGGCGGTGGTTTTCGTTTTTTTTTCCTCTGGCGGTTTCCAGTTTCCGACTTTTTTTTTCCCGCGGGCGGTGGTTTTTTTCCACACACGGCATTCCAATTTTTTTCCTCGGCTCGTGTTTGCGATTCATTTCTAGTTTTCTTTCTTGTTTCCGATTCCTTTCCGTTTATGTTTCCACGGGAACATCATGCATGCGGGCAACAAACTCCCGTGATAATTTTTGATGTGTACCGTTGACACTTTCTCAAGAAATAAAGTTTGTCTCACCTAAATTGTTAGTGCAATTTCTTGTTAATTAGAAACAAAACTTATATCAAACAGAACAGAGATACTGTTAGTTGAGTCTAAATAAATATGCTCTCAAGCTATTACAATGAGAGCCGCCATATGAAAACTTAAGATTGGTCTTTTATTTTGTTATTATAGTCATGAGCAGAAAAACCAGTTCCTAACATATCAGCTATACAAACTTCTTGGTGACTTACATCGAAGATTAGAACTATAATAATTCTTTATTATCGGTCTTAGATGAAGTTATGGAGCTTGATATTTAATTGTACCAATGTATTGGATAGTTTAGTTGATTTTTGTCTCTCGGTCGCAAAGCATAGACATATCTAACCAGTAGTATACATATATGTCATGTTTTGGATTATATTTGTCTATAATAGGCATATTGGCAAAAAGAAGGGTGATGTGGTATAGTAAAAGCTGAAGATAAAGTGGTACATGCTGACTTGAAAAAAAAAGACAGTTCCCATGGTGAATAAAACCAATATTTCAACGCGTGGGTACCCCAATGACTAAATTTGAGAAAAAAAACTAATCCTATTTGATTTATGCAGCAGTCCACTGTTGGATGATTATGCATGGACACGTGTCATAAATCCACGGTGGGTGCCCATGGTTGCATGTTGGGAATACTTCTATCCAATTTTTTCCCCTAAATTTTGCATGTGCCCCTGAAAATGTTAGCATGTTGGAATGGAGCGATCGAGCAGCAAATAGTTGGCCGATGGCATCTCGATGTACCATATATGTACAGGGGCACACTGATGCTTTCCGAGCACAAATCAGCAATACCCAATATCTCCAGCTGATTTGTCCACAGTCCACACGGCATGGCGACGGCCAGCGCCGGCTTCAGCAGCTTCCTCGTCCCGGCGACTGCTGTCGCCTCGACACCCTCTGCATGCCCATCCACGCTCCCCAAGAAGAATGCCGCTAGGCCCCGGCGGCGCACAGTGCAGTGCAGGGCCAGCGGCGGCCGTGGCGACGACGTCGATAGCCGCCTCCTCTGGCTGCCCCGGCGGGAAGTGCTCACCGGCCTGAGCGGCGTCGCCGCCGGCTTCGTTGGGTACCCGGACCTGGCGTCCATCGCCCTGGAGGCGAACCCCGTGGAGAGCTGCCGCCGGGGCGAGAAGGTGACGGAAAAGATCGTGGAGTGCTCGGACCCGAACCGAGACTTCCCGTGCCCGCCGGCGTCGCGGATCCCCATCGTGGACTTCACGCCGGAGCGCACGGTGACGCGCATCCGCAGGCCGGCGCACGACCTGGACGCGGAGTACCAGGCGAAGTACAAGGAAGCCGTCGGGAAGATGCGGGCGCTGGACAAGTCGAACCCGCTGAGCTTCGCGGCGCAGGCGGCCGTCCACGAGTCCTACTGCGACGGGCACTACCGGCTGGACCCGACGGAGAAGAACCGCCCCTTCGACGTGCACTTCTCGTGGATCTTCGCGCCGTGGCACCGCATGTACATCTACTTCTACGAGCGCGCCCTCGGCGACCTCATCGGCGACGACACCTTCGCGCTGCCGTACTGGAGCTGGGACACGCCGGCCGGCATGGGGATACCGGCCGTCTTCAAGGGGGTCTCCACGGCCGAGAACCCGCTGTTCGACCCCTACCGCAACATGGACAACAAGGACGCCCTGATCGACCTCGACTACCTGAAAACCCCCAGACGGTCGACCATCCCCTTCAAGCCGCCGCCGGCGTGGGACGCCGCCGCCCGCAAGGCGTACGATGACGCCGTTCGGACCAACCTTTCCACCATATACATTCAGGTAATCAATCAAGGTGTACATACAAACATTATTCGTTTGGAAATGGCTAGCTCTTGATTTTGTTTGGCCTTGTTTGTATGTATTGTAGCAAGTCCGTGACGGCAAGGGGCCCCGTGCGTACCTCGGCGAGAAGCTGTGCAGCGAGGCGAGCTCCCGGGTGAAGGAGGTGAACGAGCGTTCCAAGAGGCGGCAAGGAGGCGGCGGCGCGCCGAAGGTGAAGGCGAGCAACGCGCAGGGCACGCTGGAGCGGATGGCGCACACGACGGTGCACGTGTGGGCCGGCAGGTCGAGCCCCAAGGCTCCGGCCACCTGCTCCGTGGACGGAGGCGGGGTGGTGGGGCACGACGGCCAGCCGCACTGCAGCAACGACATGGGGTTCCTGGGCACGGCGGGGCGGGACCCGCTCTTCTACTCGCACCACGCCAACGTGGACCGGATGTGGCACCTCTGGTCCACCAAGCTCGGCGGCAGGGGCTTCGACGACCCGGAGTGGCTGGACACCAGCTTCGTCTTCTACGACGACGTCAAGAGCCCGCGGCTGGTACGGATGAAGTTCCGCGACGTGCTCGACACGGCCAACCTCGGGTACACCTACGACAAGGAGTCGGAGGCGGCGCTGCCGTGGCTCAACAGCAAGCCCACCCGGTTCTCCGGCGGCAAGACGACGAGGTCGTCCGCGCCGGCGAAGCCCAAGGTGGTGTCGGAGTTCCCGCTGACCCTGACGAAGGAGGCCGTGGACGTGCCGTCGGTGGCGATCCCGGCGAAGCAGCCCGGGAAGGACCTGGTGCTGCTCATCGAGGGCATCGAGTACGACCCCCAGATCAACAACAAGTTCGACGTCATCATCAACGTGCCCAAGGAGGACGCCGGCAAGGTGGGGCCCAAGGACTGCGAGTACGCCGGCAGCTTCACCGTTGTGCCCAGCTCCAACGCCGCCGGCGGGACGCTCGTGGGGAAGGTCACGCTCTTCATCGACGGCGTGCTGGAAGACCTCGGGCTCACCGGCGAGAGCGCCGTCGACATCGTGCTGGTTCCTCACACGGACGAGGAGATCAAGATCTACCTGCCCCCGACCATCGAGAACGCATGATGAGATCACTGGCTCATCAACAGCCGCACGCACTGCTGGCTGTTATCTTCACCGCCGCCGGCGCGTGAGCAGTGGCGATTTTTTTAATAAGGCTTAAAAAATAAATTAGTACGATGTCCTACTCCTGCCGTATGATTGTTGTGTTTAAGTTTATAATAAATAATCTAGATGAAACCCCGCACGTTGCCGCGGGACAGTAATGGAATTATTCTTGTTAGAGGGCAGGTTTTGAGAAATTGCATAGTCCGATGTGGAAATGTTGATTTCAATGAATATAGTCGAAAGTTCAGAACATTTCGATTAATTTACTTGGATATTTCTTAGCGGTATATCCGAAAGAAATTGCAGACTTCAAGAAGAGATTTTTTTGCTGCAATGAATTTAATTTGCAAACTAATCCAATGCACTTAAGTACATGCTATGGCATAAGAGAGAGTGATGCATGTAGTGACGACCTCAAAGTCATGGAACATAAAGTTAGAAATTTATGATGAAATGTTTGCAATATCACCATGAACTTTTAAACCCACGATATCGCCATATAAATGGATGAAATCATTGACGGTCTAGCTGTGTATTTGTTGGTGGAGCACAGGACCTTGCAGTGTGTAAATCGATCGGGTCACGTGCAGTGGTGCTTGTGGTCGGCGGCCATCGCCCATTTGAGATTATTGGCTCAACCTATTGGTGGTGTTGCGCGTGCGGCAAAGCTCCAGTAGATGAAGTGCCGGTAGATTGGAGCACATGCCGTACGGTATGTCGCACGATTGGTCAGGAATCGGAAAAGGGAAATAAAGGTGATGATCAGAGAATTGTTGACATGCAACAAATCTAGGGGTTGTCAACTAGGATGCGACAGCGCGCATGTTGAAGGAGCCAAGGAGGGGATGCTGGAGTAGAATCAGAGTTGAGGAGAGCAATTTGCATTTGGTATGGTGGTGGCTTCTGCTTGGTGGATTGCTATTTGAAATGTGTACACAATGCAAGATCGATAAGGGCATGTTTGGATCCCTCCAATTTTTAAGAATCTAGATATTAAAAACTGAGTGAGATCTAAACAAGCTAGTTTTTTTACAATTTCTTGTGCGAGTTTGTTATATTCTTAAAAACCAGGAAGGTGTTGATACCCAGCTTTGCTAGTTTCTTATGACCCAAAGAACAATAAATGAAATCAAATTCTTTAAAACTAGGGAATCCAAACATCCCAACCAGTTTTTGCTCGGAATCGAGATTTTAGAAACTAGAGGTAGAAGCTGGTTTTTAAGAATCCGAAACTGATCCACACATGCATGGTCTAAGTGTCGCCATACATGCACACAATTCAATTAGTCTTCGGTACTTTCTTGGACCTCTGGATTCGTTTGTTTGTTTATGGTGTCCTGTGTGGGGAGGTCATTATACGCAATTAAGGGCAACATACGTGCATTACATTTTGGAAGATGAAATGAAAAGCTGCACAAATCGGGGCAGCATGAGTGCATTGCTTGCTGCTGGAAGATGAAATGTAAAGCTTGCACTAAGCGGTGACATGAATTTATGGCATGTTTATCCACGAAATCAAAATTTTGGCACTATGCAAAAGAAGATTCTTGCATTGCTGGAAGATGAAATGAAATCAAAAACTAATTGCACTAAGCTAGCGGTGACATGAATTTATGAACTTGAAGATAAATCTGGAGTGGAACTAACAGTTAGGATGGAGGTGGCAACTTAGGATGGGACGGTCGAAATCATGGTGATGACGGGGCACAATGTGCAAGCAGAGAAGTAGTATTAGTGAGGTTTTGCATTATAAGAGATATAAATAATTAAATAAGGAAGGGTGGTGATTCACGTACGGATGACAGATATGATGCGATTTCTTTCAATAACATGCTGGAAAAAGAACTCATGATTCATGAACATGCTGCTACAGACCTACACTCGACCCTCAGCCTGTTCGGTTATTAATTTGGATTCGTTTCGATTCTTTGGTTCGTGGAGATGAAATCTTGTTCATTTGGTTTTGTGAGAGAAAAATATTATTATTCCGCGCAGAAATTTATGATCGTTCTGACAATCACCACAGCCAAACGAACAGACTCCTGGCCTTTCAACGCAACTACCACACACCTTATCTCTGTGACTCTATGAGAATATATCTTTCGAGAGATGATGGACCGACCCAGCGGATCTTAAGATCGACTGAAGAAGTGCCTCCAAAAAACCACGTCATTGTCGGTAGGCCACACATCACGTGTTGGACCACTGAAAGGTTGGCATTGCCAGTGTTCCTGAATCCGGATGAATAGGTTCTAATAAAATAGCCTCACAAACTGAACTATGCTCAGGTCATAAGATGATACACGTAGCGCTAGTTCTTAATAGCCGACCGATCGATATAGTATAATAACAGTTGGTTGGTTGTAGACGCTCACCACACGCTGCAGTCGTAGAGAGTTGGTGCCAAAAATATTCCTGTGACTGTGAGGTAAGCATGCATTATGTTCGACAACACACAGGAAAATTTGAGTTACTCTCCTTGGTTCAGTGGTAAAATTAGCATATATTGCTTCCACAGGTTGCCAGGAGGCAACTTTGTTTACGTGTATGGTATGGTAGAACTGTAAAATCTAGCTTTGCAACGGCCCAAGCAAAGGACGAAACATTATCCGATCCATGCTCACGCAGGCTGGACAAATCGTCGAGCGATCTGTCTTGTATGGGGAATCCTATCTTTTTTGTCGATGTCGGTTGCTCTTCCTTGCCTTACTTGCACTGTCATTTACCGTATTTCTCTTGCAGTCGAGTGTAGAAATTAACAAGTCCTTTTTTATGTAGCACAAATCGATATTGGAAATTGTGAGATTCCTAGCTGGTGATGTCAAAATGGAGGACGCGTTGAGGTGAACCGCGCGACTGTATGTATGTATTCCTGAATCCTGACTACTTCGTGACTCACGCGTTGCAGACTGAATCAACGATTGAACAGGTAGAAGCAAGTGGCGAAACAACGACATGCAGGGTTCAAAATTTCAGCGAAATTTCGGTCAAATTTCACGAAATTCGGTAATTTCGGTGGTGGCCGAAAGAAAACTCCGAAATTTTTTAATACACTAATAAATGTGTTATATAACTCTAATCTTATATTTTTCTATTGTTTATATTGTATATTCTTCTATTTAATACGATGTCGGATGAAGATAAATTTTTTTATATAAATTATAGACCTCGATGAGATCTATAACTTTATAGTTTTAATTTTTTTTTTCATTTGAGGACAGTAAGATGCTCGAAAAAATAATATAAAATTTCAGCACCATAATAATCGCCTACTAGTACTTGCCGCATTAGAGCACTAATATATTATTTGTATAGAGTTAAATGAAAATACTTTTTATATCAAAGTTGTACCTCTCAATGGGATCTACAACTTTGTAGTTTTTAGTTTTTTCATTTGATGACGTTAAGATGGTCAAAAAAATAATATAAAATTTCGTCGCCTTCCGAAAATAGAAAACCGCTTTTGAAACCAGCCGATGACCAAATTTATTCGATTTTGATAGTTGGAGGGTGTTTCTTAATCGGTTTCGTAGTTGAAGGTTAAAAATCGAACTTCAACGCGAGTTGAGAGTTGGAAAGTGTAGTTTACCCTCTATATTAATGCCAACTGTTTTTTCCCTTACCTTCTCGGTCTAGATTCCTAGCATATTCTAGTAACCGCAGCGGCGTAACGGTCTTTACAACAACCAAAAGTTGAAAGCCAAATCGCATTCCTAATCGAACCATCCTTCCGTGCTATGCTATGCCTCTTCGTTTTTGCTCCCTTTCCCGAGCGAAAGCAGAAGTGTGGACTCGACCGGCGCACGAGGGAGCGCAAGCACAACTGTAAAACAGCCTCAGCAAGACACAACTGCCGGGGCTTATTCGTCCGCTACTATTACTACTGCTTGCTTCCAGTTATGCATCTAGGGTCTGGTTGGTTTGGCGGATAGGTTTGTTGTGTGCAATATCAGTTTGTTTGATTGATCGGTAGTGCTAGCGCCCGGAGGTCCGGACGGACGCCCGCGCGCTGCACTCCGTTTCGCGCTCAACGCGGGGCCCGCGCCACCCGAGCGACATGAGGGGAAAGGCGCGCTGCGCCTCCGATTCGCAAGGACCTGGCCGCGGCGTCGTATGGATGCACTACCGGCGCCGGGAGAGACGATGCAGCAGAAGGTGGGGAGGAGAGATGCAACACCCGATTTACTTTTGAAACATCTAAATACAACAATTACAACATACGTCTGAAGGCAGTTGAAACATTTGAAAAACACACCTGAAAACACTTAGAAAACCATTGAAACCATACGCATACAACATCTAAATAAAACATATGTAACGTTTGTGTGAAACATATGTAACATCCAGATAAACACACTTACAACATACGTTTGGAAAATCCAGATGAAACATACCTCAGAAACATCTGAAACACTCGAAACATACGCTTGCGACATGTCTCTGAAACAATTACAACATATGTAACATGTGCAACATCCCCGATCTACTTTTGCAACATCTATATGAAACACATGCAACATCTATATGAAACACATGCAACATACATCTGAAACACTTGAAACATACATATGCAACATTGGGGAGCGGAAGGCTAGGCCGGTCTATTCGGGCGACTAGGTGGGAGGGAGCTCGGTCGCCAGGGTGAGAGAGGGCGCCTCCGGGGGTGGGGAGGGCGCCGCGCCGGGGTGGGGCAGAGCCGCCCACTCCTTGCAACATCGCCGCACCACTGCCATGGATCTCGTTTGGGTGGGAGAGGGCTACCGGATCCGCAACGCGCGAGCATGGAAGGGAGGAGGAAACGAGAGACTAGCTGCGAGAGTGAGCAGAGCGAGCCGGACGTCCATTCCGAATGTCTTAATTGGAGCATTATTACCTGTATAAGTACATGTTGTTCGGGAACATCCGTTATTTGGTTGTCTCCACTTTCTGGCTTGTAGCTGCATCCGTTATACGGTTCC